AAACCTAATGCTGTTTCTGTATACAGCTGCCAGGATTATCTCAGTAAGAAGAGAGACAGCAATTCTCAGCAGAGCAGGAAATACTTCAGGTTCTGCTATTCACAGAGACAGGCAGAGGTGAGGAAATAGTAATTTTAGAGTTATCAGACTGCATTTTCTTAAACTTGGAACTGACAACACATTCAATTTGAACATAATAATTTATGTCAATATTGAACATCAACAGAAGTATTGACATCCATCCACAATTTCTAATGGTTTTCTTAAGCATTAATAATTGAAAATGATGGGTTAGAAGAGGTGATTGCACCCATTCTATCTCGTGGTGTCATGGTATGTGTCCCTACACCCAGATAAACTTCAGAATTTTATACAACTTAAATTTAATTTAAATTCTCTGTTCTGCAAACTTTTTCACCTGTGACCACCCTTATTTGTCAAACACATGACAGCACAATGCAAAATTCCACTTCAAGAAAAGGGGTATGAAACTATATACAGCCACAAATATGTATGTACATGTAAATATAAATACTCGCCCCATAAAATGTACACACATTAAAATAAAACAACACATGTTAAATAAGAGAACAGTGATAAACCAATGTTTGTTTTTTGTTACGAAAGAAAAGATATTGCCTTTATCTAACTATAATGTATGAATATACAATTTCTTATAATTTGCAGTGCACCCAAAACCTTGTGGCATGTAACTTAGGTGTTTGGAATTTTCACATATTTTCTTTACCAACATTTAAAGGCATGCATTCATGGTTAACTGCTAATCCTGAGATTTGTATCAGTCCAGGTTCAATCTTATTTGACTGCAAGTGTAGATTTAAAAAAGTCATAATATATTAATAGTGGCACTTAACCTTTATGTACATCATTATTAATTATTCATGGTTATACACATCAGTTATTATTCTTTATAACTTCATTTGTTTTATCTCATAAAAATATTGCTGGCAAGATCTGCAAAATTTGAGGTAAGTGTAATACACTTTATTTCATTTACCTGTAAATTTCTGAGTGGTAATATGAAAAGGTATGATTATGTCACATGGCAAGAACACACTCTCCAGACTTTTCTAATTTTAAAAATGCATATAAAATTGTACATGTAATACATACTGCCATGTTAACAGGTTGGTCCTATATGTGAAACTCTTCTGCCTTATGGGTCTCACATGGATCACCGAGATCATCTCATGGGCTGTAGGAGGGGCAGACTACTATTGGTACATCACAGACATTGTCAACATGTTACGAGCAGTCCTCATATTTGTCATATTCTGCTGTAAGAAAAGTGTGTTAAACCTTCTGAGGGTTCGTTTAGAGTCATTTCTACCATGTGCAAAACGGATAACTTGTGGGAAAAGTGGCACATCTTTGTCTGACCCTACTAGTTCACTCCAGCTGACAACTAGCATCAAGAGGAGCACTAAAACACCAAGCCACGATACTTGACAAGCCTGCACTTAATAATACCTTATTCTATCCTTTTATGTACAATAAGAATGGAGGACTATAATTCCTTTTGCTACTGAACTGAGTGAATACCAACTGTAATATTGTTTTTAGGCCAGTTAAGAAATATAAGTTATGACACAAATCACAAAGTTAAGTACCATTCATAAACTAAGAACAGGCCAGATGAGAAACTATTTGTTGTCCCACAAATTACTAAAATATACAAAAGTATAAATTCATCTCTTTTATATGAAACAGTATTTGGTCTCATATTTAAGAAAACGCAATTGAAAGTGTCTGAAACAAAAGGGTTAAGGATCACAGTCGATGAAGACAGGATGGGCAAATGGAAAAAATACATGAGAAACTGTTTTCCAAACATTATTAGCTAGAGACTCTACGTTCCTATTGTGTTTAATTTATGCTTGTTTCACAAATCTGTGGTGTTAGAATTGCAGAGGGGTAATGAATATTTATAGTACTACAACAGAGTGAAGTTTAATTCATAGGTTAGTGTGCTAGACATGTAAGCAGACAGTTACAGGATCAAATACCACCTGAATCAGTACTACTATTGCTTTCAACTGTGTGTGTTACAGATTTTTAAATTTCTTTGTGGAAAGAATATATTCTACTACAGATTCTCATAGGTCTGCAGCAATGGCATTACTTTGTAGGCATGCTTTAATAGTGCTTTCATACTTAATTAAAAAGCTCTTTCACAGCTAGTTTTGACACAAAAAATAAATTTATTTAAAGGTCTATCACCATACATAATTCAAGAAGTGTTCATTCTGTGCCACTTATGGATGAATGGATCACTCCCATCTTACATATTAGTATGTCCACAATGTTATTACTCACTGAAGCTTAAAATAGGAGATGACCTCTTTAACTCCAATAATTTCCAGCAACTGCATCAACAAGAGGTCAGCCAGGGTTGTAGACTTGTGGCCTGGGTGGAGAACAGTGAATCTTAAATTTAACATAGGCCCACCATATAAATGTTTCATCAGACTAAAAATAAAAACTCTTGTCAAAGAATAAAGATATAAGGGAAGAAGTACATTTTGAAAATCCACTCAGAAAACCATGGACAAAACCCTCTGCTCCATTTCAAATCTTTACAAAATGAAATTGGAAACTTTGTTCTCTAACATATGTGCTGCACAGAAATTTTTTTGTACACTCCCAGTCAACATTGTAGAAACCAGATTAACAGAGTGATTTAAAAAACTAAGACATGCATATATTCAATTCAAATTAATTTTTATGATAGATTTACATATGAAGTCTTTTTATGTCACTTTTTAGCCTTTTTATTACAAATATTGTTAATGACATTTCTTTCATAAGCTAAATAAAGTTTGTTGTATTTGGTATTCATATTTATATCTGCACCTTATTACATATTAAAGTATTCTGTGGGAAGGGAAGGATGGAGTAATCTGCCCCAGAGCCCACTTTGGTTCTCCATTCCCCTGCACATCAGACATTTATAGTTCAGCACTGAAATTTAAATTTATATGATTCTTTTCTGAAAGTTTTTGGTGGTATTATATTACTTTCTTCATCTTTGACTTTTTCCATAGTCTGTTTAGTTTTCTTAACTGTATTAAAAAGCACATCATTTCAAAGAATGGATGGACCTTCCTTTCTCAACAGGTATAGATGAAGACACTCAGTAGGTGTCTTCATCTCTCCATTTATACCTGATGAAGGAAGACCTACTTTAAAACGTGATTTTTAACCTTTCAAAGTCCATGGTAACTATACGTACCATCTGCTTTAATAACCAACAGCTCTGCATTCTGTATTCATGGGATTTGTATGATTTTCACAGTAAACAGCATTAACACAAACTTTATAAGAGGGAAGTGGCATGTTTCCTTTGAGGTGCACACTGAATTCGTAAATAGTTATATGAACTTCAGTATCAAAGGCTTAAAGCATTTTAAAAATTCTCAACAGATGGAAGAAAAAACAAACCTGTAACAAAGAAATTAGTAATTTAAATTTGTATCAGCGAATTCACTTAACAGTAAACTTACATGAAACGCAGAGAAACACATGAAAACATTTACCTTTATTATTCTTCAGTATTAATCCACCAAGGAAGATTTATGAAATGGTTCAGAATAGGAGCCAATAACAGGGTTCTGGTTCTGCAAAGAATCTTGACTGGCTGAGTAACTTACAACTGCTCAATAAAGATACAATACTAAGGAGTCAGTCAGCTCTGAATTATTAGAATAGGAAAAACATGGAAAAGAAACTCCCCCCCCCCACTTGCTTTGTCTAAGTACTGATACTCTACTGCCTGCAGAAGTAATACCAATTAAATTACTGCATAGGTAAATAAAATTGAACATTAACCGGTGACATCAGTTTTTTTATTATAGGTTTGATTCCAAATGGGGTATATACCAGTTTCTCATCCATTATTATTGGAAAAAGATTCCATTGCATTAACAATTTGTATATGGGCAAAACCTTCATAAAAAGGCAAATAAAATGCAGTCTTGACAGGATCCAAACAGAGCTGTCACATGGACAATGAATTGTCACTACAATGTAATGAAAACTGTAATAAACAATATCCATAACAAATCACATGCATGTGCACGTGTGCACACGCACAGCAATCTCTCTCCATTCTCCCTTGATATCTACTCATACCAAGAGAAAAATCATGTATCTTTTGGCTAAAGTATTAATAGAATTGGTACAAATAAAGTGAGTTACAAAGACATTAAAAAAAGTTTGTCTGTTGCATCATAACAGTCACTCACGTGTCTATTTCCAACAAAACAAACTTTATAAGGAACATGACTTATTTTAATATGTCTCTGTAAATCATGAAAACCAAAAATTCAACATACATGTGACAGAAGTTGAGCACTAGATCAAGACTACATTATTACATAATTCTACAACAAATATCACTTTTTATGCACAGGAAATCAATTATGCAACAAATAAATGCAGTGTGTGCCAATTTGTTAGGATTTTTTTTTTGTTATTTTAAAACAGGAGAAGTTCATTTGTAAATATCTTGTTGACAAACTGGTTAACAAATTACAACTTCAAGAAAATGACTGTATATACCATTTATAACCATCCTCACAATTGTTTTTTCTGTTATCAGTGCAAAAAAAATATTTCTCCATTATTTTCATCCAAACATCTTTCTGCATCTTTTTATTAAGTTTACTCCTTCAGCAACTTATCATTTAGATATGACTTAGCAAACACACTGAAGACAAAAGAAAAAAATATAAAGGACAATTCAAAAGAGAATAACACTTAATGAACAATCAGGTGGATAAGGACACACAACTTTCAAACCACAATCTCAAAAGATTCAATATCTACTTCTCATTATTACTTCAGTTGCTTACTTCATGTTAATTCCTCATGACTGCATTCTAAACTTGAAATAGCATCAAGTATATAAGAGCAGCCAGTGTTGACACAACACGACTTCACAAAATATTAAACAAAAATTCTAGTAATTACTTTCAGGCAAAGCTGTACAATGATCATGATGGCATAGCTTCAAATACTTGATTCAGAACTGCAACTACTGAAGCCTTCAATAAACATTTATTGTGGTAGATTGCAGAAGTGAGGAAAAAAAGTTAATTTCGCTGAGATAGTAGGGAAATAGGAGATGATTGTAAAGTTTCCAGCCACTGAAATGAACTATATATAAATGGATACTGCATCAATATATGGGGAAGCAGATGCACGCACTATACCACAAGAAATGTCGCCAGATACAACTCAGTTGCATTTTTTGGTGTGGGAAGGGCTGATTTTTTTTATTATTATGTCAGTAGTTTTTAACCAGATTTATACCACTTTTTAAGCAGTTAATTCCATAAACTGACTTGCTTAAAAATGTCCAAGTCAAATTTCATTTCCAGCAAAGAAAATAAACGATGCAAGTAAGCAACTTTCTTTTTATGAAATAAAAGTTGTCACCTTAAAATTAGGCTTGAGTTCTTGCTTTACCATTTTCTGTATGTAGATGCACAAATGGTGGTGATGTGATTCAAATGATAGGGAAGGGGGGCTCCCTTGTTCATACTTTGGTGTTCCATGGTGCTTTCCTCTACAACATACACATTCATTACCCTGCTACAGAAGAAATTAATTTCTTCCAATTAAATCTTCAGAAACAAAACCATATAACACATTTCCCTAACAGACGTCAACAATTATTACACTTAATATACCATGGCGACTTCCCCCCTCGAGATCGAGAATTATCATCACTTCATTCAGAAACAAGACCAGATGAAACAAGGAACAGTACCATAAATGTTAACAACCAACACACGCACTGCTGATGTCATATCACACTACAGACCAACATCATGCGCAGTTTACGATCCAACAACCCCCTGCCACAGTTTAAGCTTACTTCCATATTATTGTCAAGCATAAAATCTCGAAAAACATTACCTGCTTGCACCACTATTACTTTACAAAATAAGAGTTTTCAAAGCAAGAACCAATCTCATCACACTGTTCACAAGGTTTATGATGCCTTTGGTTACATTTATAAGTGACAATGGTTCACTTTCCATAACCATGTGTTTACACCTTTTTACTGTTCCATATTTTTCTTTCACACGTATGTTGATATATTTAAACCACTCGGAAAAGATAAAACAATAGTTATCACTATGCATTACCCCACCATGTAATGTGAACTATTCCTTTTAAATTTTCGAAGCTTACTACTCACAAAATATAAATGCAAATCACATTTGAAGCACTGCTCCCCCACTTTGAAGAACTTAAAAATCTGCAAAATGCCAAAAGGAAGAGTAAGACAGTAACCATCATAACCATTTTCACTGCCCATTGTAGTACTGAACTTTGCCACCTGCTTGCAATGGAGCAGCACTCATCTCCTTCAGCACATCATCCCAGGCTGAAAGAAAATCAACAAGTGTCAGGAGTTACTTAATGCAAGTTAGATATTTTCTGAATATAAACCATTCACACACTCAGAGATTGAAACACAATCCTGCTTGAGAGTGGATATGAATTTACAATTTCTACCCAAACCAGCGAAAGTGTACTCACACTACATGTTCCAAACCAGTTGTGTGTGATACTGCCACAAGAAAGATTTACAAAATCTTGTTTTATCAACTAGTCCAAATTATACAGTGATCAAAGTCACAAAATGCAAATTAAAATATTTATTAATGGATGCAATTCAATACAATTAGATTAATAAACACACAATATTACTGTGCCTATGCAGGTCATGTCATGTTGTGACCTGCTTGTGGCAGTCCATCAGTTGTCTTTCAACAGTCAAAGTGCAAGGATGTCATTTTCACAATTAAACAAGTGTTCACTGTCGAAAACTACTTGCCAGAATGAGTTTAAGTGTACATTTCCAGATTCTCCTGTTCCGTACAAACTGACAATATCAAACCATTTCTATTGTTCAACTCAGTGGACATTCCCAGTAATAAATATGTCGTCTTTTGTTTTCTTATTGCAATGTAATTTATTTGTTACTATCATGATATCAGACTGGAAGCCACTATTATACCAGCAGTGTTTTTCATAGGAAATCTATGACATTTCAAAATGCAGAAAATTGTAATTATTTTGAAGTTAAAGCATTTAAAAATACCCACATTCTCCACATGACTGGATTCTGGAAGAATGTTCTGCAAACAGGCATTACACAACCTGAGTAATTTTAACTAAGGAAACAG